GATAAAGTTTTAAATTTGTTGAGTTTTAAATACATTTTTTTAAAAGGCTCTGTCAAGAGTTGGAAATGTTCTGGACCAGGTCTGGGTATCTTATATCAGTTCATATCATCGATACCTATCATAGTCCATTTTACGTAGGCGAGGTTGATTAGTTATTTAATGATGAGGTTTGACAAAGCTGGTTATTTGAAGCTGTGCCATCGGTTATAGGCTGATTTAAATGGTTAACTTTGAAAGCATGGTTTCTAGCCATTTCATATGTGAAGATTTCTTTACAAGGTCTAAAAAATTTTGGATACCGTTGGAGTAAAATTATGCTTTGGTATTTGTTGAGTAATAAAACGTCTGATGACAAAATGCCACCCTGAATTTTGATTAGTCAAAACAGAATCTCATGCATTTGAAATAGGTAGCAAATTTGTATGTGCAACGCATTATTTATTAAATCAACAGACAATGTTTAGTGTATATATGAAGTCGCAGACCCCTTGAAATAACTCAAGGACCCAAGAGGACTGCAGCCTACCATGTGGTGCTTGATTTTCTTGGTTTATTTATCACATCATAGACATAAAAGCAGAAAAATCTTAGGAAGTCATTTAGAACTAACTTCTGATAATTAAAATATTTTATAAACTTCAAAATCTAGTCCACTTTAAAATGTTTTACAATGAGATTTTGACATTTATTTCAGAAGACTATCACTCCATATAAAAACTCCTATAATTAAAGATCCTTCTGATGAGCCAAAATTTTCTTGGCAAGGCTCAATCTCAATTTTCCTTTTATCACATTTTAGCATTTTAGTAATCTCTGGGTTTACTTGCTTTTCGATGCCTTGCATTACAGAAAAAAATCTGATCTCAGCACCATGCTCAATCTGGACTACATATATTTCCATACAATTGTAATTTTCTTTTATAAGTGGAAATTTTTTTAAAAAACTTAAAAATTTCTAGAAGTCTTATTTTCTCATTAGCAAACTCATCAATTCTATAAACTGGTGCTGATATTTATTTAGCTAAAAAGTCATTCTTTAATTTAATAATTAATTGAAGCTATCTACAAATGTGTTTTTAGATAGTGTTACAGAGATATTTAGGTCATTAGACAGTAGAATTGAAAATAACAGTTATTTCTAATTCAGCTACTAGATATACATATCAAACCACCTCCTAATGCTATTTATTGAAATTAACTGCTCTGTTACCAAATTCTGAATAAAATCTTTATAAAACACATATTTTATTTAATGGTCTATATTACATTTTTCACATGTAAAAGTAGAGCATACATGATTTATAAAGTCAATGGAATTATATAAGCAAGTTTTTCTAATGGTCATAATTGGATTAGTTTCACCAAAGTAACTGTATTTATATTGCTTTGTGTACTCACTAAAAGAAGTGAATTACTTTTATTTTCTTATTAATGTTCTTGGATTTCCATTGGCCAAAGTAAAAGAAATTTAATTTAGTCAGTACTTTGTCCAATTATAAAATTTTTATACCTTTTACAAATTCCCAGATAGAAAATTAAGTGACTACATATCTGATCCATTGTTTACCTCTACAAGGCATCCCAAGGAAAAGCATCTCTAAAAAGATGTCTTGATTTTTTATAAAATCTAGGTGTGTGGGTGATGGTACTGATTGGGCCAGAAATGTCTTAAGGTAAAAGAGTAAATGCTGAGGTAGAGACTCTAAAATTGGGGCGGAATGCCCGAGCTTCCTTGCCCGTTTTTATGATCTCTCACTCTGCTTAGCTAAGCTGAAAAGACTAATAAAAAATTAGCCAAATATCTTCCTGTGTCAGCATTTAAGTTACTCTGAGTCTCTGGAGCCATGACACAAATCTAAAGAAAGGAGTCAAAACACTTGAGAGAAAATGAACCAGTTTACAAATATATTTACATGTTCTGGAATATATTAACTGATTGTTGGAATCAGACTAGCTTCACCTGTCCTTCCAGACAATCTCTGGCAGTGGAAAACAGAACTGGGGAGGAGGATGACAAGAGAAAGAAAATGATGATAAGGACTTAGGCTTGGGAATAACAGAGCCTGTTGAAAGAAATCATGTCACTTTGTTTAACACCATGAGTTTTCTGTAAGGATGATGTAACTTTGTTGCACAGTCATGCAACTTTCTTTAAAATGTGCTAGTGGCAAAGTGTATTCAGTAAGAGATGGTAAGTATATCAGTATAAATGATTAGCACTGGCTGCATACTTCTCAAGGTAAATGCTCAACTATGTTTGTCATAAGAGTAGCAGCGCATCACAATACTGACCGTTCCAAAATTTCATTCATTCATATTCTCTAATTATAACCACTAGAAAATATAGCTGTTGGGACCTATTTGTACAAAAACAATCTAATACTCATGATCAGAATCATGAGTTTCATATTGTCTTAGAATGACAATTATAAATAATTCTTATGAAGGTACTCATAGATAAGGAATTTCTACATTTAATTTTAGACTTTTAAGCTAAATACCAGAAATTTAGTATAAAATCCTTATCTTGGAGACAAACCAGATTTGTATAACTCCTGTGGGGTCTGAGGTCGTAGCTATTAAGTATATCATATCTGTCCATTTGTGAGGCTTTTTGTGCCTTTGACAAAAACTGCTGAGGCCATTGTTTATATGAGGTTGTCTTTGTAGGAAGTAGGAAGTTTTTATTTCCAGTAAATTATTTTTCCTGGAACAGAAAGGCAGAAGAAATCCTTGAGTGCCAAATTTTTCTGATGACTTCAGTGAATCTAAAATTATATTATCTCCATTCTTCTAGACATTGTTGTTATGTCCTTCGATATGGTTAAGTCCAATGGGATCCAGATATTATTATAGATCTAAATTGATTAATTGTATTTTGTTCCAACTTAATAAACACAGTGCACTCAGCAGTCTTAATTTTAAAAATCTCCCTCGATTCTACTTTTCTCTTCCTCCTCAATTACATTCGCAAAACAAGATTCAGATTTGGTTCTATCAAAGAACAGGAATGATTGCACAGTAGGTCTACATGTCCTAGAAGCTGATCATAGCTTATTGTATCCTAATAGATGACATTAATCATTTTAAATATGTTGGTACTCGAAATGATAAACTCCAGTTTGATATGTGTCATCTTCATCTTTCAACTAGTTGGGGAATATAGCTTACTCAACAAGGAGCTTTTTTAAATGCATCACTTCTGTTTTAATTTCAGGGTGCATCCCCCTCACTCATTATCCCACCTCACCCAAGCCCAGTGATAGTTACTTCTATAGGGACAATCATGAGAACACAATGTCATATGTTTGGACAGTCTATACACGGACAATGTACAATCTTAAATGATAGCGTACATCAGGGAGCTTTTTTGTTTGTAATTAAATATGTGTGCATACACAAACATGCTTTCTTATTTTTTTACAATCTAAATTACTTTTCTATGAGAAGAGCAAAAAAAATCCACTCATTATTGTTTTCCTTTATTTCTCATGAAGATAGTGCAGCACTTTTTAATTTTAACGTGACAACATGTGCCTGTATTGTGATCAGCTATGTGGTGTTTTGCAAGTCATTTGTTAAAGTGTTAAAACTTGGTATTGCTTTGTTTATAAAGAGAGCAGATTCTAGGTTAGTCATTTTCATTTACTTTCATCTAGTTACACATTCATGAACTAACGGAGGAATGAAAGTTACAGATAATGTGTGAATTGTCATAGCCCACAATCTATCTTTCCTGTGAGAACTTGGGAAGTTTGTGGATAACTGACCAGTGTACAGAGGCAGAAAACAGTCAGTGGTCTAACAGACAGGTATTGTTTATAAATCCTCACAAATCATTCCTTAGTAACCCTTTCTCCAATAAAATTTCTACCTTTGTTTAATGTAATGAGACATAAGCATGAAGAGATTTGCATTCTTCACTCTTTTTGTTTCTTACGTTCTCTGTTTTCTTAAGGAAAAGTAAACTTTTTGCTGCCATATATATTAAAATTGTCTCTTATCAATTTGAAAAGTTTAAAGACTGTATTCTCCTTGAGGCATCATTTCTTTTACCATAGGAAAGGAACCCAGAATTTGTGTCGCTTCTGTGGTTTTAGGTTGCTCGGTCTTGATATAATTCTTTCTTCCTCCATTCCAATCAATCCATCATAGGAAAAAAAAAATGGTCTTTACTTATTCTTTACTCTTTAATCCACCTGTACTAATGAGGCAGTTTTAAAGAATGTCTTTAACACATTGGCCTTGATAATAGAAAAAGAAGAAAAGGTAGAGTTCCTGCATCATTGCAATTCTGAAGAACCCAAAGAGGTACCGAGAGAAGAGGATGAAACTAGAAATTACCATTTGGTCAATTCTCAAGATACCCAGAATTGTCTGATAGCAGTAAAGAATCATATTCTCCTTTGGATAAAATCTGAGTTTCTGAAAAATTATTCTGGTTGGTGGATAATAGTTGGATTGGATGGAGAAATAATAGCGGTCTGGAGAGATAATCAAAGCCTGAACTATGGTAGAAACCACGGGATAGAGAAAAGTGAATTGGTTCGAGACATCTAGGAATTAGAACCAAATGTGAGAATTAACTGGACACATGTGATAAAGAGACAGAAGAGTCAAGGGTAACTTTAATGTGTAAGGCTTTGGGGAACTGAGTAAGTAGCAGTGTCATGACTGGGACAAGATATACAGGAAAACAAAGTGGAGGTGGTTGGGGGTGTGCATCACAATGGCAGGTTCTGTTTTAGACTTTGATCTGCTGGTGAGACACCCGTGTGCACATGTCAAGTCAGCTGATACAGATATGAAGTTCATGTGAAAGGTCTGGTCTGAAAATAAAGATTCAGGCATCGTCAGAATATGGACTATAATTGCAGCCATAGGAATAGATTCATTGACTCAGGTTCATGTACCGAATGGAAAGAAAGAAGCCTTTTTTTAGTTGTGTCAGAGGCTTACTATCTTATCTTGAACAGGAACTCATAGAAAACATCACAAAATTTTTCTTGTTTCCCAATTCTTTTTATTTTAACAGATAAAATCACTGTGTAAAAAGATATTTTGAGTTAACAGAATCAGTTAGATCATATATATTAATTGGGTTATTAATTAAATTCTAATGATTTACTACTACCACAGATAATACAGTAGCACATATATTTCCTATAGTATAAGAATTCTCTAAAAGAAAAGAATTAAAAAACTTTAACCACAATTTTCTATTAGCATCTTACACAAAGTAATTGCTATATAAAGGACAAAACACTTCTTGGACAGTTACGTCAAGTATAACAGAAAAATGAATTCTTCAATTATACGATATATTATAGATATACAGTATTTTTGGATGCTTCTTAATCAGTCTTCCATCTAATCTAAATTCTATTGGTTTCATTCTTTTTCTGTATTCCAAAAGTGCTGTCCACTTCAAGACCAGTCTTTTATTTCTAACATGAAAGTATCTCAATCAGAGCCATAGTATAAATTTTAAATATATCTTTAAAGTGAAACTCTCCAGTTCAAAAAGTTAATGTTTGTAACTAAATGTAATACTCATGTTGAATTTATTTAAAATTTAAGGAATTTATTCACAAATTCAGGCATACTTACAAAAATACGATTGCCATGAAACTTCCTTAACAGCATCTGAAGAAGTATAATTAGTTTAACATCTTAATTATCTTTCATGAACACAATAGGGTTTTAGGCATCTTGGTTGGGTATTATTTAAATAAAAATTATATTCGTAAAATCATTAAATAAAAAATACTGTAGTATCTATGTCCCACTATTTATAGGTATAATTTTATTATGCATATTTTCATAAGTTATCCAAATAATGCAGCTAATAATTTTGAGAAGAGTATAATTTATGTTGAAATTGGTCGAAATAGAACATTTGCAAGGTAGTATGAATCCAATGTTTTTCATACTTCTTACCAGATGAAACTATGCTGTTTTATTAATCATAAGTGAGTCCATTAAAGTTGAATTTCCAAAAAAAAAAAAACCACTACAGTATTCATTAGAGCTACGTGCCTGTGCAAAAACTACTTACAATGAAAACAAAATGTTACAAAATTCCACAGAAATTATTTTACAATCTGATTTAATCTTTAGTGAAGATAAACTCAGCGCCGACATAGGAATATGTTCAAAAAGTTATAATAATTAATGTTAATTAATTAAGTGACTGAAATATATTATGTTGTATGCTTACTTTTTATCTAAATAGTATCCATATAAAACAGGAACAATTTGAAATGAGAAGTTAAATGATGGTTTACATTTTTGTAATTCTGAGCATTTCAATCTTTGATTCTGAGTTAAAAAAATACTTTTCACTAAACGTGCATCTGGTTTTAAGAACAATTGGCTAACTGAGTATTAAAGATTTCTCTCATCATTTGCCGAAATACAAATTATATAGCAAATTTCAGTTTATTTCCTTGAAGGCATTCAAATAGTTGATAACATTTACCTGCAGCATTCTCTGATAGATTTAGTTGATAGGAAAAATCATTAAAACAACAAAACACAATAAAGGAGAGCCTATGGCTCCCTAGAGAAATTGGTATTTGGTCATCTTTTCATCAAATGAGCAGGAAGCAGTGAATTATACATCATCCTCAATCTACTGCCCAATGTGATTTGAAAGTCAACTTATTCACCAACCACCTTTTAGCGATGCTGATAATGCCAGTTATTCATTCAGGTTTCCTTCATTCTGGGAGAGGCACAAGCATTTCTCTCTGCTTTTACTTATTCAGCTTACCATCCAAGCAACTGTAAGTTATCTATTTTGTTGCCTTATCTTTGAATATGCATGCTTTTACCTAGGCTGTGCCAACCAGATTTCCACTTATTACATCGCAGCTGCTACCATTCAGATGCTCTTTTTCTTCCTTAAAATGGGAAATCAGGATGCACCTGGGAGCCTTCCTCAACTGGATTTGTAGCTCTGGTCAGAATTCAACCATAAATTTTCACACCGGAGCTTCCTTAGACGTTGGTAGCCTCTGTGAAAGGATCATTGGGTCCATTGTTCTTTTTGACTTCCAGGTTCTTTTTTGCCTTGAATGTTACAGACATTTCAGAGTGAATGGCGTCCAACCTCTGCTCACAGCGGAAAGCTGAGAGGAAAGCCTTTCTGTAGTTGCTGTTCATCCAGCCATAGAGAAGGGGGTTGGCAAAGGTGGAGCACATGGCGATGATGTGGAACACGGTGAAGATGAGTTTGTACTCTTTCAGGTCCAGGACCTGGTTATCAATGTCAACAGCAAGTTGGAAGGCATGGAGAGGCAACCAGCTGACAGCAAACACCACCACCACGCACACCAGCATTTTGGTAGTCTTTTGCCTCCGCTGATGATAGTGATCATTAGCAGCTCCAGGGCTAACATGGTTCTTAAGTTTATTCCAGATACGCATGTAGGAAAAAGATATGATACCCAGAGGCAAGACATACAGGATTAACAAAGAGGAAAGACTGTAGACAGTGCCATACATGCTCTTCTCCTCACCAGGCCACTTCTCTGTACAGGCCACAATTGCAAAGTCAGGAATAATCTCAATGAGTGAATATTCACGGAAGATGGCCAAGGGGCTTGCTAGCAGGGCGCTGATGCCCCAGGCCAAGCCAATAACCAGGAAGCTGATTTGCTTAGAGATCTTGCTCTCCAGGTGGTAGACGATGCAACGATGCCGGTCCAGGGCAATTACTGTCAAGGTGATTGTGGACACTTGTACTGCCAGGCCCTGGGCATAGGGTACTAGGTGGCATAAGACTGGACCCATTTTCCACTCCCCCATTAAGGTGTAGGTAAGAGTGAATGGCAAGCACAATGTGTTCACCAGAAGATCTGCCACAGCCAGATTGGCAATAAAAAAGTTGGTTACCGTGCGCATGCTCTTGAATTTGATCACCACATGGATCACCAAGGAGTTGCCAATCACCCCAAGCAAGATGATGGAGCAATAGGCCAATATGAGGACAATCTGTACCTCAATCAGCTTGGTGCTGTCTATAAGCTCTGGCTCAGGATCCGGGGCCAGCTCACCCCTAGGAGTGGTTCGCCCTGAGCCATACTGCTCCACTTTCGCTTCTTCCACTGTCTGGTTCTCATCAGCTTCTGCATCTATTGGGCCCATTTTCAGCAACGAACGCAAGAATCTACTGAAGAAAGAAAAGAAGAGGAGAGGAGAGGAGAGGAGAGGAGAGAATGAGAGGAGAGGAGAGGAGAGGAGAGGAGAGGAGGGGAAAAAAAAAGAACAAATACAGAACAAGGAAAACACAAGGGAGAGGCAAGAAAATATCACAAATAAATTGGTTTCATTTAGGTTGGGGCACTAAATATCTGTCCTCTGATCTCTCAAATTGCACACAGTATAACATTTTAATAAAGCAGGCCCTTTAATAAGTCTATTCTATGTAACTTTATTTAGACATTATAAGTCTAAATATGGATGAATTAAATCAGGTCCTTGAAACATATATTACAATGGTAAAATGTAGTACCTATAGTGTACATGTAATTCCAATGTGAATGCTACCAAATTAATCTATTTTAAGTGAGATGAATATCAGAAACTTTATCAATTAATTTTGTAATTGCTATAAATTTATCTAATTAATTTTAAGATAGATAAAGAAAGTTTTCTTCAATATCTTGACTGTTTTAAATTTATAAATTTAGCAACAAATTGCACACACACAAAAAAGGAGACACATGTTAAAACTCTTTGCCTGGTGCCTAGACTTTGGGAGTATAAAATATTTAGGATAAACTGAGCAGCCATTTTTCCTAGTGTAAGGGTTATTAGTATTAAAAATAGGCAGCTTGTGTAAAATAGTCTCTTTTTTGATGATCTAAAATAAACTTCCTAACTAATATATTGCTGAATCCTACACAGGAACTATATGAAAAATATGTCCAAATCTGAACTACTTCTCTCTCTAACCCCTAATTTTAATATTTAGTCAAATATTTAAACTTAGTTAAAAGTTTTTACACTTTTTATCCCTAATCATACCCACCTCCACCCCAGACTTTTCCCTCTGTGTGCCCACCTTCAGTCAATGCTCTCCTCATCGATTAAGCCGAGTAAACTTACAAAGCAGGTACTCATTCCAGGCTTTTTCATCTCCTTGAGCTCCACATTAGAGAAAACCCTCAGACTGACCTCTCACATCTCTCTCCCAATGGTCCTCTTATCATTTCCGCTACATTAGTTTCATCCTTGATCTCTTATTCTGATCATCATCTAACTCTTCTCCTGCTTTCTTTCTTTTCTTTTCTTTTTTTTTTTTTTTGTCCATTCATTGATTCATTCACTTACTAATTACAATTGAGCATCTTCTAAAGGCCAGGAATGGTTCCATCCTTGCATTCAGCAAGCATTCAAAAACCTATGTCAGGAACTAGGATTCATGCTGGGGGGAAAACAACAGGACGGGGCCTCTACTCTAAGGCTCTTATATTTTTCTGTACAGCAGCTACTCTGACATGAAAAATGGTCTTTCTGAACTTCAAATGTGATCATATCATTTCCCCAGTGTCCCCAGGTTGCTTAAAATAATATAGTATATTGGTTTATAACATAAAGTTTCCTTTTCAAGTCTACAAAAACATCCAGAGCCCACTCTTACAATGGTAGGACCTTTTGAATATATTCATAATGACAAAAGGCTTCCACCATTAACTCAGAATTTCTGTTAAATGAACTTGTTTATTAATCATAATAACATTTACCCACATTGACAAGTAAGACTTATTTATGGAGCCCAATGACCATGCCTGGCTGGGCCTGTGTGCCCCCAGCTCTGTTCCTCAGCCTTCTCCTGGAAGGCTGACTCTTGCATACTATAATTTCAGGCTTCTGAGTCTTCAGGATGCTGGGCAAGTTTGGCCAATGGAAGACACTGGCAGGTAATCAGAGAGCAGAAGGAAGGCAGAAGCCATTGTATTCTTCTCACTCCCTTTCTCCTCTGGGCAGAGCCTCAGCAGTGCCTCCAGGGCTCTGGTTCTCACAGGGCTGCCCCATAGTCATTCTGTTTCCACCAGTCCCTGGGCTTCGGTCACACTGCCTCCTCCCTGTGCTCTCTAGCTGGCTGTAGTAATGACTTATTGTGTTTACTAATCTTTGGGTGCCCTCAACATCCCCTGTTTGGCTTCCAAGTTACTTGGTTACTTGTGTAACCAATTCTCTACATTTAATTCTTTCTCTTTTACATTCTTGAATAGCTTCTGTTTTGCATGATCTGCTTTCATTGATTTGCTCTTCCACTAAAGGTTCTACAGGTACAAGTTGATAACACTGACATATGAAGAAAATCCCAACTCCACTGTATGATATTCAAAACTTTTCTTGGACTCATCCCTGCCCACCCCTTTGATTTCACCTCCCCTGGCATTCTAATATATACCTTATCACACTAAACTACTTCCAATTCCAGCAGCACATCAGCCTTTCTCACACCTCTCTGCCCTCCCTGTTCTGCACTGGGAAACTTCTCAGTTCCCGCAACAACCTGTGCTCACTTCTAACGGTGAAATATCACATGCCACATTGCCATTGTTTTCCTTCAGCCACCCTGCCACAGCAATCTTTTTGAGGACAGAAACTGGATCTTTTCAACCCATTGTTTGACTTTAGCACACAATCTAACACATTAAAGGTGCTCAATAATTTGTCAAAACAAATAAGAAGCTAAAGGAAAATACGATTTTACTGAATAATTAAGGTCAGCAAAATACTAAGTAACTTCGATTCTTTCCTTTACTGAAGATAATTGCCTATATAGAATTCCTTGCTGTGATATCTCATCCTAGTGATTTTCTTGTCTTTATCCACCTCTACAAGAAAGTTGTCCCAAGATCCCTCTTAAATCATTCCCTGATTAGACAGACTAAAACTTGTCAGTCAGTAAACCTATAAGGAAACTTTCTATCTCAAAGGCTTAGCACACATGCGTGCGCGCGCACGCGTGCTCACACACACACACACACACACACACACACACACACCCCTTAACAGGAGTCTTATCGCAGAGAGATTTTCATGCACTCACGTATTTGCTTTACTAATATATTCAAGTTCTCTCTGCATAAATTTCAAATAGAATTTTCCAAAAAGCCCAGGTTCTCTTGTGCATTTGCCTCTACTCTTCAGTAATTAGAGAAAACGGAAACTAATGATTCAGATCTTGGAGTGTGTATTTGATAGGCTGTACCATTTCCCTTAGACTAAGAAAGAGATTTTACAGAGCACAATTAGTCAGTCAGTCCTGATAAGTCATTAACAGAATTAACAAGACTCCAAGAGGTCTGAGTTGGAGGTTTGCAGTAAACTAAATTGAGATTAAGCTTGAGATAGAGGAATATTAGGAATATATTTGATTTACTAACTTCTTTTTCTTTTTCCTTTCAATCCCAATTTCTTTATTTCAAAGCTCCTATATCTAAAGTTTCTCTGAAGGGATGGTTATTGATCTACAGGCTATTAGCATATGGGCACTAATACCTATTCTCAAGCATACTACTGGCCTTCAGCCAGGTCAGAGATTACCCAGAGAAATGTATTATTTTATTATTGCAATTCTGGAAAAGTGAAAGAGGAAAAGAGAGTACACAGAAGGAGTTGCTAGGTTAAAAACTCAAGATCACAAAAATTAAAAGATAAGTTGACAAGGGAAAAACTCTTTCTTTGAAATAAGGCAAAACGAGGTGATCCCATTGTTCAAGACATTTAAGGAAAACTGTGGCTGTACATTTTCCTTAAATAAATGAATCTTTAGAGATTCTGTTATAGAAATATTTCATTGTAGAATAGGAAAATGGCTTTAGGGTCCCCTCCACCCCAAAGATTCAAAGAACTTCAAATTATTTCAGTGGGAAGCCTGTTTATGCCTTTAAGTATATATTTAAATTTGTGGAACTTTTTACAACAGTACTGTTATTGTAACAGGTCAGCCTTAGTAAAACTCAACATCTTATCAATTACAAAAAATGTCCAGAAATTTTCCCAGGGAAAAATCCCATAAAACCACACACCTTACACTTCTTAGTCCTGGGAGAGAGGGTAACAAAGTTCAAGAATACTACATAGCTGTTTGCATAACAAGCAGAAAGTTGAAAATATTCACCAAAGAGTTTGGGAATGTCTCTCTTCCATGTATTTGAATTTGTGATCTTCCTCTGAAAACAGCATTGTTTATTTCATGTCACCAATTTTAAATATGTCCTTATTGCAAAAAAAAAAAAAAAAGTCTTAAAGAGTTTACTTTTGCCCCCTTCTCGTCCACCATATGCTCCTACCAGTGGGTGAGCCCTTCTGGTGGAAAACCAGTGAATGCTTAAATAAATGTGTTTATTCTTGAACAGCTTGAGAGAATCCAATATGACCTTCTTTAGACAGGGGCTTGATTTTTAAAGAGGCAGAAACAATAACAGCTTACTTTTCTGGAAAGATAATGACCTCGTTCTAAGAAGAGCCAAGGAAATAGTTAAGAATCTTCAGTAGAAAAAAGAAAATTCTAGCGAAAGTAAAAAATAGGGATGATATCACCACCCCCAAACCCCTCAATGAGGGGGGAAAGTTCCTACATTCACAAGAACCTTCCCTCCCGCATGCCCTCTTCATAGGGCCTGACACCTTCTTTTGGGGGTATTCTGGTTCCCAGAAGGTGAATCAGTTAGGACTTACACTTACTGCCCTGGCCCTCGCGTTTCCGCTGAGATGCGCAGAGACGTGTGCAGCCGGTCAGAAAGATGATTATCTAGCCGGCACACCCAGAGAAGGCACTGCAAGGTCCTCAAAGGCAAGTCCAATTCCGTCAGCTCGGAAGGTGCAGCCCTCTCGGCGCGGGAGAGCAGCTCTGGCGCGCGCCCGGCAGTCGGGGCCCCAGCGAGGCTTAGCCGCTGACCTCCGCCACCGAGCCTGCTCAGGCCCCCCACAGAGCAACCGGGGTGAGCGGGTGAGGATGGGAGGCTGCAAAGGTGGAAAGGATGGAGGGGAGGTGAACCCTTCCCCTCAAAAAGTAAACGGGTGCGGAGAGCGCGGGGGGCCGGGGGTGGCTATGGTCCCATAGGGAAGTGAGCTGGAAGGGAAGTTTCCGTGGCGAGGGAGCAGGGGACAGCGACCACGGTCTTTCCTCTGCCTCCTGGGCTTGCGAGCGGTGCAACTGGACCCTGTCCAGCGCGGCGCCCCCTCGCGGGTCCCCACCACCACCTGCAACTGCTACTCTTACTCCCACCCCCGGGCGACCCCCAAGTTTGGCACTCTGGGGAAAGGTTTGCACCGCTTCTATCCTTTTTCCCTTCCACGAACCCCTTGCTTTTCTCTCGGCTCCTCTGTTCCGTGAGAGATTCGGAGAAGAAGGACCCTCGGACGCGGGCTCGGGTTCACCAAAATCCTCCCGGGAAAGGAGAAGGTCAGTGCGAAGGTGGGCGGACAGACCCAGCTGCGGGCGAGGGGCTGCGGTCTCCGGCGCGGCAGTCAGGAGGGAGGCGGACTTGGAAGGCAGAAGTTGATTTTTTTTTCTCTGTCTCTCTCTTATAGGAGCAAAGGTGGAGAGCTGGACCCGCACAGAACCACGCCAAAGAGCGCACGATTGCGCGGAGGACAAACCGTGGGCACCCTGGTCCAGGGCTGGAGCGCAGGGAGCTGGTGCAAGTCTAAGTGGGCGGTCGCTGCGCTCCCACAGGAAGGTAGAGCGAGTTCAAATCCTTGTTGCCCACGATCTGCAGTTCCTTTAACAGGTGTCTGCTGACAGTTTGCAAGTTGGGCAGCGCGGATTCAGATTCAAAAGCCGGCAGCGGGTGTGGTGTGCGCTCTGGCTCCAGGCAAAAACTGGAATAGGAAGAGGGAAAGAACGAATCCCGATTAAAACCAAACGTGTACTTCTCCAATTAGCTGACTTCCGGATCCTTCCTCTTTGGTAATTTCCCACGCCACTAGTGCCGCGAAGAGCGCGTGTCTCTGGGATCCTCCTGTCTCCTCGTGGCGAAGCCCTCTGCTAATGTCCGGATCCCGCCAGGCTGTTAGTGGATCAGAGCGGAACAGGATTGTGGAGTCAGTTCACAGAGCTGTGGGGTCTGTTTCCTCAGGATTCCTTCCAGAAACTCTTTATTCTGAGCTATTCCTTCCAGAAGTTTACAGTCAGCCTTTCTCTTGTTCATTTGTAGAGGGGACAGCAGACCATATCAAGTAAGGAAAACAAACGTCTGAAACTGGAAACCAACTTCTTTCTTAACTGTTCCCTGTTGTGGTTTTGTACACATGACTTTCCCTCTATGCATCAGACTCTTCATTTCTGAAATAAGGTTAATCATACTCGTTCACTTGGAATTTCTCTGAAATACTTTTAAAAGGGGTTAAACTACAAGAGAAAAAAAAAAAACTCTCTCCAACATATTGGTTAAGGCCTCCCCTCGAGAAGATCGGGTTTTCAATCCCATGAGGGTTTGCCCGCACCCGGATAGTGCTGCATTTGTAAGGCATCTTTACACAACCTATTCTGAAACTGATCTTTGGCTAAGTAGAATTATGGCCCATAGAAGCATAGAAATTCCTTATAAAACAAAGCAGCTTGGGCTTTTCAATTACCAAGAGACAAAAGTAAACAGAACAAGAAGTATCCAAGATGCTCTACACAGTTCCACTTAAAATATTTTTGTGGATATTTTTTACCTTGGGCAAATATCCCCTGCCCACACATGTGTTTTATGCAACAGGTTCTTATATTGCGCCAGTGAAGAATGAACCATGTACCAAGGGGCTGTAACTGTAGAAAGTAAGAGTGGCCTGAAACAACCACCACAAAAACAAATAAACAGGAAAACAGATGAGTGCTGTCCTTCAGAGTGATTGCTTTGGAAGATTCAACTGATTTCGCTGACGTTGCAAAATCATTTACCTCTATCGTCTCACTCCCTTATCGACATATATGTGTCTTAGAAAATCCACAGTTCCACAGACATCTACTCAGCAACCCTAATAAGATTAAATGGCCTCTTTGACTAATGTCTTCCAATAAAGAACAGAACTGGATGAAAAATCAATTGGTTGAAATTCAAGTTGCCTTATTGTGTACCATATTATGGAGGATAGTTTTGACAATTAACTCATGATATTTGTGTGTATTAAGGTCTAACGGATATATTTTAATGTGCATATGCTGTGTGCTATTGTAACACTGAACCACTCTGATGAATGCCAAAAAACTTTATTAAGACACTGATAGAATTTTGTGGGAGTGATAGTGAAATACTGATTAATCCAAATTGAGATAGGACAGGATTCTTGTTGCTTGATTTCTCTTGTGTCAAATCATTTAGTTCCTCAGGCACTTCTACATCTAACCAGAATATGTGCTGACTGCTCTTCAAATAGGGAGCAAATTCAAAGTCAGATGCCTACCTGGTTGGGGCCAATGACATAAATACAACAGCAGGTTAGGCTGGTATATGGGAGATATAGGGAATGGTGGGGGCTTCGACATCTCAGATAGCACAAAAGCACATGCCTTTTCTGAAGGAAGAGGCTGCTTCTCAGATTCCACTGAGATGCCTCGTAAAACTTTAGATCTAGTGTTGTCAGACCTGATTTTTTAAAAGAAGCAAAAAACTCATTCTTAAAAATCTCCCAAATCTTAAATGAAATTGGTTTTTTAAAAGTCAAACCCCCAGGTAGGCCAGATCTGTGCAGACCCAAATAAATAAGGAGAGACAGATAGATAAATAGATGCATAGATGGATATGTGCAGCCCGGCCCCGTGGATCTCCAACATTGTAACCTCTTATATTAGGATATGATGTTTGACAAACCTCTTAAAATATCTCAAACATGACTCTACTACTATTTTCCCTATCCTACCCCACAGACCATTCCTCAGTGCACATAAATATAAAAGAAATACAGCCAAAGATTAACTGATGATTTTCTTTTCTACTTCTGGTTAAATACATGTTTTCTCAATGAGACTCTGAAGTGAAAAACCTGGTGAATAACAGAACAACTCAATATTTTAGATAGTTAGAATGAAGAAATTTCAGAAAAGTTCTTTATTAAAAAAGAAAAAAGTTAGATAATGTCAGTATAGAACACCATTTATGATGTCTATTTTTTAGATAAAGTACATCATGATATGGATATCATTTTTTCTAAATTCATTTTGAGAGCGAGGAAGTTTCTCCTTAAGATGTAAATAATCTCATTGTTATTTTGATTATAAAAGTAATTTATAAGCATTGTAAAAGTTAGAGAAAACAAATAAGAGCGAAAAAAATATCCATTATCTAAAACAATGCTGCCTAGTAGAACTTTGCAGTGATGGACGTGTTCTATATGCACGCTGTCCAATAAGGGAGCCACTAGCTCCATGTGGCTATTGACCACTTGAAATGTGGCTACTGCAACTGGGAGACAGACTTTAAAATTTCATTTTTTTTAAAAGGCCCACTAAAAAGAATAAGTATATGTTGATTCTTAGGGGGAATGTTCTCCTGGTTTCATTCTATCAGAAAACTAGTTTTCTTCTCACCTTAATATCAGGGTTTCCTGAGAGATTGCTAAATAACCTTCAAGCCAGAGCAATCTAATTTAAATCACAGACAGAACAAGAAAGAAGCAAGCTCCATAGACCAAGGTACCAGCCTGAGGAAGAACTCTGAGGGAGGAAGAGCATAGGACCGAAAGAGAGAGGGCAGCAAGGCCAAGCAGAGGAATTCTCTAACCCCCAGTAATTAAGAAAAGCTCAATGAAGTTATTAAATAACTTAACTTCTTAGATGAAACAAACAAAACCTACAAACAAGTCCTTATTTAAGAAATATTAATCAAACTAGCTTAATAGTTATAGTGTTCAGTGTAACTGATTGAAACTGATTCTGTCTTGTTTTATTTAAACGTTCAGTAAATTTCGTTATTATTTATCCTTAGGCTTATTAAGTCTTACTTACAGAAATTCTTTTTAGTTTCAATAAGATTTCTTTGCAATAAAAATTATGGAAGTTGGATATCCTAATGGCCATTTGGTTATAATATTGATTCTCAATAGTTGTAGATTTCATTGGCTCTGTGTTTATCTTTCTTTTCAGGCAAGAGAAGGCCCAATGGGACTTAAGTTAATATCTGAACAGATATGATAGAGATGCTATCAAGCAGACATATAAAAAGAGACCAGTTTATATGAATGGACCTTAAAGTGTTTTATAACTTTTATAATATCCCCTTTAAAAAAAAAACAAACTCAATTAAATGCTTGTTTTGATGAAAAGGTAATACTTCTCCTTCCTTCTACTTCATTACAAACTTGGTTCATTTGTAACAAGTGGACCAGCAAATGTGTGAATGACCAAGAGATAGTCACCAAATAGTGAATTTCACAAGCCGATAGACTAGAATTTTTTAAAATTTTTGTGTGCAATATGTGATGACAACAGGTGTCTCATTCAAGAACAGCTACCAGTCATTCAAAGTTAGATAAATGCTGAATCCTAAATCGGGCATAAATATCATTTGCTATGATTTTTATTTCTATGGATCTGGAGGTTTTATTTTTGTTTTGAATTTTTCATTACATATTCAAAGTAATTAAGCAAGATTGTAAGCATATGCAACATTTTGCTGAGGTTTTTATCTTTCAGAGATCATACAAATGAGTATTGAGACTGGTAGGATCCAAATCTAAAAGAATATTTAAATGCAAATGATTCACAGTTCAAATTTTAATGTAGAACAAAGGAAGGACGTTTTTTTATTCGGAATACAGATTTAATCAATGTAAATTTTCATTTGATTATCTGAAACATGCACAGAAGGCCCATGGCTAAAGAGGAAACATGTACCCTTTTGAAAATTTCAATTTTATTTAATAAGTGTTTATTCTCGTAGCTTATAGAGACATAATTGATATATAGTTTTTAAATCATATGCTCAAAACAAATTTAATTTTTAATTTTTCTCAAATAAATACAAGCAAAATCAAAGCTCTCTCTCATACTAAATTACTATTGCTATGTCTTGAGAGATACAAAGTCCAAGGTTTATACATAACTTTCACATATCATTTTGGAGATCGTGAAATGGCTTATTCAAAGTAAAAATTTTAGAATATGGAAGGAATAATGTACGTAGGATATAATTCGGGACTCACTACTCTTTGTTGTAAAAAAAACAATTCTATAAAATCCATACAAACATTTAATTACAGCTCCTATCAACAAATCTTTATTGAATGCCTCATTTGTTATAGGCACTATGCTAAACAGTGTCCATATAAAGACAAATTACACACAGAACTGCCAGTGATTATCTTTAGTCCATTAAGCATACATAGACTTTTAAATTGAAAAAGTACCATAAACTGATTAAGATTTCTGGTAGACTCTGACATAATAGATTAGGGGCCCCAAGGGAGGAATGATCAGTTTTTTAATGAGTGTTGTTTTGGGGGGAGAATCAGAGAAATTCTTTGTGGGGGAGCTAGCTCAACCCAATGAAAACCCAGCTAGAAGCCATTCTTGTCAGCACCAGGATACCATTTTCTGCTGGAAATATTTTCCTACATTAAATTAACTAGAATGTGGGATACTGAGGTATGTAGAACCCACTGGGAGAAAACACTCATTTACAGAAAAGTCATTTGCATATGTCAAAGTAACATTTACAAAGTTAAAATATTATTCTCAGACAAAATATATAGTGAGTACATGTGAAAGATTTATTTAATTGATTAATAAGGGGACAAGCACAAAGCTGGTTCAAAGTAGGATCCCAAAAGTGGATGCACATATAGTCAATGTAAGAAAGAGTCCTGCATAGAACTGATACCTTGGCTATAAAACTGATTGATAGCCTGCCATGTATCAAAGTCATAACTTAGGAACTTATATTTTCCAGACAATATTCATTTGTGTCTCTGTTGGGCAAAACTCAAACTTATTTTTCTGTGACTTAGCATCAAACTTTATAGAGACTGGGCTCTAATCAATAGTAAATAAGTCGTGGGGATGGAGATGTAGAGTATAGCATGGGGACTATAGTCAATAGTATTGTCATAACTATGTATGGTGTCAGATGGGTACTGAATTTATCAGGGTGATCACTTCATAAGTTATATAAATATCTAATCACTGCATTGAATACCTGAAAATATAATATCGTATGACAACTGTAATTAAAAAATAAAAAATAGTAAAAGTAAATAAATTAAAAGAAAGCATAATAAATAAGTCGAATTAAATAAGTTACCTTCACCTGGGAAGTCAACTGACCTTTATGCTCATTAGATAGTGCTTCAATTTGGCATTGAAAAAGCATGTGATCATCCTACTCTGCTTTTTTATTGCCGCTTGGCAAACCATCCCAAAACTCAGTGGCATAAAACAGTTATTTCATGCTGTTCATTGTGGGCTAGAAATTCAGGCTTAGTTAGGGGATTCATCTCTGATCCATGTGGCATCAAGGGAAGAAGTGAGGTTGTAGGATTCTCCTTTAAGGTGGTACCTTAACTCACATGTCTGGATCCTGGGCCGGTTTGGCCACAGTAGCTGGAGGATGGTCTCTTCACACATAACAACCTTAGAGTACTCAGACTTTTTGAATGGCTTTCGGCTTCCCCTAGATAGAGCCTTCTGAAAGAGAGTGTTCTAAGACACCGTGGCGGAAACCACAAGGCTTCTTATGACCAAACCTCCCAAGTCCCAAACATCTCTCCTGCTACATTCTTTTGGTCAAACAAGATCTAAGGTGAGCCTATAAACAAAGGAATAAGAGAAGTCCACTCCACCTCTGAATGGGTGTACAGGGGGAAAAGAAATTGAAGGCCTAAGAGAAATGTCATCATACATCCCTTTGCCGAATATTGCATTTCGGTTGTTTGGTTTTTTGTGGGTTTTTTTTTTTTGTGATGTGTGTGTTTGTTTAATACATCCATTAAAGAGGGATTTTTCTGGGAAAACAACAGCAGCCTCAGAAATTCCACAATGATTTTTTTCTTCTTTGGCTTGCCATTGATGAAAGTATCAGAGCCAGAGACTGCAAAATTTAATGGCTTCTCTGCCAATGGAA